TCTCCATAGATGCTGAAAAAGCATTCGACAAAATTCAACATCCATTCATAATAAAAACCCTCAACAAAATGGGTATAGAGGGCAGGTACCTCAACATAATAAAGGCCATATATGATAAACCCACAGCCAACATCATACTGAACAGTAAAAAGCTGAAGGCTTTTTCTCTGAGATTGGGAACAAGACAGAGATGCCCACTCTCCCCACTGTTATTCAACATAGTACTGGAGGTCCTAGCCATGGCAATTAGACAAAACAAAGAAATACAAGGAATCCAGATTGGGAAAGAGAAGTTAAACTGTCACTATTTGCAGATGACATGATATTGTACATAAAAAACCCTAAAGACTCCACTCCAAAACTACTAGAACTGATACTGGAATACAGCAAAGTTGCAAGATACAAAATTAACACACAGAAATCTGGGGCTTTCCTATACACTAACAATGAACTAATAGAAAGAGAAATCAGGAAAACAATTACATTCACAATTGCATCAAAAAGAATAAAATACTTAGGAATAAACCTTACCAAGGAAGTGAAAGACCTATACCCTGAAAACTATAAGACACTCTTAAGAGAAATTAAAGAGGCTACTAAGAAATGGAAACTCATCCCATGCTTTTGGCTAGGAAGAATTAATAAAATGAATTAATAGAATGAATAAAATAAAGCAGAAATGAACAAGTGGGACTATATCAAGCTGAAAAGCTTCTGTACAGCAAAGGACACCATCAATAAAACAAAAAGGTACCCTACAGTATGGGAGTATATATTCATAAATGACACATCTGATAAAGGGTTGACATCCAAAATATATAAAGAGCCCACACACCTCAACAAACAAAAAGTGAACAATCCAATTAAAAAATGGGCAGAGTAGATGACCCGACAGTTCTCCAAAGAAGAAATTCAGATGGCCAACAGACCCATGAAAAGATGCTCCACATTGCTTGTCATCAGAGAAATGCAAATTTAAACCACAATGGGGTATGACCTCACACCAGTAAGGATCACTACTGTCCAAAAGAGAAACAACAATAAATGTTGGCAAGATTGTGGAGTAAGGGGAACCCTCCTACACTGCTGGAGGAAATGTAAATTAGTTCGACCATTGTGGAAAGCAGTATGGAGGTTCCTCAACATGCTCTACCATTTGACTCAGGAATTCCACTTCTAGGAATTTACCCTAAGAATGCAGCAGCCCAGTTTGAAAAAGACAGATGCACCCCTATGTTTATCTCAGCACGATTTACAATAGCCAAGAAATAGAAGCAATCTAAATGTCCATCATTAAATGAATGGTAAAGAAGATGTGGTACATATACACAATGGAATATTGTTCAGCCATAAGAGGAAAATAAATCCTACCATTTGCAACAACATGAATGGAGCTAGAGGGTATTATGCTCAGTGAAATAAGCCAGGCAGAGAAAGACAAGTATCAAATGATTTCACTCACATGTGGAGTATAAGAACAAAGAAAAACTGAAGGAACAAAACAGCAGCAGAATCACAGAACTCAAGAATAGATTAACAGTTACCAAAGGGAAAGGGACTGGGGACGATGGGTGGGAAGGAAGGGATAAGGGTGGGGGAAAAAAAAAAGGCAGAGGACATTAAAGGCCCAAGGTAAAAACCTCCCTAAGAGGACGGAAGAGCTTGATGCCACAAAGTTGTTTTATTGTTTTAAGGCTAATATTGGAACTTGGAGATAATGACTATTTGTTGATGATCTAATACATGCTTTAGATACATTATTTATTTGAATCCTCTCAATAACCTTGCAGACGTAAGAAAGAGTTCATAGGGGCTGAGAAGAAATGCCCAAAGTCGTAAAGCCAGTAAGTGGTGGCTGTTGGAATAGTAACAATAGATAGCATTGTTTGGGGCATTTACTTGTGCCACAGTTCTAAGTGCTTCACAGGATTCAACTCACTTAATCCTCACTATAACCTTGTGAGTTAGGTACTATCCCCCATTCTACAGATGGGGAAACTGAGGCACAGAAAGAAACATGGGTCACACAATAAGCAGTTAAACAAAGGCAGGCAGTCCAATTCCAGAGTCAATGTTCTTAGTCACCGTATCAGACTGGATTTGAGCTGTCTTTCTAACCGCAAAATTTATGCACTTTTTCCTACCCCATATTTTGTCCTGGTAAAAGTAACTTTCTCTACCACCCATAAATGGATTTAATTCTATTCAGGGACATCTCACTTCTAAGGCTGAGCCATGGGGAGTCTGAGGTACGCCACAGGTGTTAAGTCCCTGCATCCCCAGCCCACACCTGAATCACCCATCTAGGGAGAGAAGCCCAGTTCCCTGGGGCTGGGGAAGTCCCCGGTCTGAGATCCACCTTCATGCTGATGCCTCAGATGCAAGAGGCCCCTGAAGACAAAGGCCTGGAGAGAGCCAGTGGGTGTATTTTTGGATGGCTCGAGTCAGACCCATCTTGTTAGGTTTCTGGGTTCCCACAAGAGGCTCAGTCCAATTATGTGGGCCGGGAAACGGGCATATTAAAATCTACAGTTTTCAAAGACTGAACATGTGGAGCGTCGATAAGAAACACTGCCTTCTGCTCCCCAACCCAGCCCATGAAAGCCTGTCCCCCTAATCCAGCCCTGCATTTCTCCACCGGCCTCAGACCAGCAGGAGAACAATCCTTGACTGAAAACCCACAGTCCACACTTGAGGTGCCACAGGTCCAGAGAGGAAGCCCCAACCACCCCCCACACCCCCCACACACATCTCCGGGCATCCGAGAACCCTGAGACATGTAGCAGTTTGGTTCCCAAGGTAACTCCATGGGCGCGAGCTGAGTGCTTCTGTGACATCACAGGGCCACTTCCCGGCCGGTGGCAGAGTCGGACCAAGGTTGCGGTGACTGGGATGCCATGGAGGCTACTGGCGATATCGAGCAGCCGCAGGGACCCAGTGGGGCTGAGCAGGGTGGCCCCGAGATGGGAGACCCGGGCCCAGCGGGACAGCTGGTTCCCAGGAACCCTTGGAATATGATGATAAAGCACCGGCAGGTGCAGCGAAGGGGCCATCGCCCACAGATTATGACAAATTTCACAGACCCTTCCATCTCCATGGACCTCCTCCGAGCTGTCTTGCAGCCTAGCATCAATGAGGAGATCCAGACTGTCTTCAACAAGTACATGAAGTTCTTCCAGAAGGCAGCACTGAACGTGCGAGAAAATGTCGGGGAACATGTGGATGCAGAGGAGCTGATCCAGGAGGCCTGTCGGAACTGCCTAGAACGGGCTAAAGTACTGTTTCCTGGTAGAGAAAAAGTAATGCCCAAATCGATCCCTGAGCTTCCAGGAATAAAGCGTGCCAGGTAGGCAGAAGAGGAATGTGCCCATCGCGAAAGCCCCATTCCCAAAAAGAGGAAGAAACGGCCTCTTGGACATATGATCTCAAATGACCGGGCAGCTGCCGGCAAGGTACGGAAACCAAAATCCTGTGGACCAAATCCCAGAGAAGGCCCCAAGTGGGACCCAGCTCGGCTGAATGAATCTACCACCTTTGTGTTGGGATCGCAAGTCAACAAGGCCCTGGGGATGGGGGGCACCAGAGGGAGAATCTACATCAAGCACCCATACCTCTTTAAGTATGCAGCTGACACCCAGGACAAGCACTGGCTGGTTGGGCAGCATCACATGCTGGCAACAGAGGGGAAGATGGCCTGCCTCCTCGTCGAGGAGGACATCCGGGACCTTGCTGCCAGCGATGACTACAGAGGGTGCCCGGACCTGAAGTTAGAGGAGCTGAAGTCCTTTGTCCTACCCTCCTGGATAGTTGAGAAGATGAAAAAATACATGGAGACACTACGCAGAGAATGAGCATCGTGCTGTTGGAGCATCTTCACAAACCTGAGGCCCACTCCCCTGGGGACACTTGGCAGCTCCCCTCCACAGTCCTCATACCCACATGGGTGAGGCCACGGCTGGGACTGCTCCTAGATGATCTCAGCAGCATTAAGCTGTGCCTGGGCTAGTTTGTAGTGACTCACAGCAGAGCACCCCCAGACTGGCATGTAGTTATACTTTTGTAAAGTTATTGGGATAAGATAGTTTGTAAATAGTTTGTAACAAAAACACAGATGGTGAAAAAAAAAAGCCTAAAAATAATTTGTTGAAAGGAATAAAAGAAAACTTGAATAAGTGGAGAAATAGCATGCTCCTGGAAAAGAACAATAAATTTTATAAGCATCAAAAAAAAAAGCTAATTGACTGTTAAAGTGTTACATATAAACATTCAAGAAATGATAAAGTCATCATTTTTAAGATTTTTTATCATTTTGATTATTTTTTAAGATAAATCATTTCTATAAAGGCAGTGATAGACTTTTATCTCATAGAACTATGAAAGATATAGAATTAAAAGAACAAAAGAGTAATTGGAAAAGGGTCTGCCAATGATCAATTCTAAAATTCTGAAATATTTTAACTCAAGAACTTTTGCAGTGGTCTCTTTTCCTACATTTGGAGCCTTCCACTCACAGAAACAGCAACTTTAATCTGAAGTGAAAAATAACTCGGTCATTGCACTAAAGCCTGCAAATAAAGGATCGTATAACTTTGGATAGGCACTGCTATCAGTTCCTGCAAGGCAAATTCCTTTAATGAGGACTGCTTAACAACTTTCCCACTTGCCACGTTTTTCTGGATCATCTTCAGCTATTAAATTTCTTTTAAACTGTTTAAATACAGCTAAATTGTTTATGTATTCCAGGAGCTTCTTGATTTTTACCCCTGTCAGTTTCAGGGAAACATTTCACATCAAGATTTATTCAAAGAATTTCATATTTGCTTTTATTGCCTTCAAATTATGATGGATCACAGAACTTCATAGATTAGATAAAGAAATGCCATGGCAGACTCCATGTTGTCTCAGTTGCCAAGTGCTGTGGAAACTGGCTTTATTTAAAACGCTGGGGTAACTTCATGAGAACCTCCTCTAAGTCTACCATCACACACTAAAATTTCCTTGCTTAGTCTTACAGCTCCTTGACATATTCTACATTGTCTTATCTTCAGTGTCCAAAAGTTCATAGAAAGTAACTCTGTCCCTACCTCCCTTAGCACATAACCCCATTCCTTGGGAAGAGCACCTCTGATAAAATTCCTATGCTTCTTTCCTCTCTCAATCAAAAGTCTTCATTCATCTCTACACTAAACATTGTTTTCTTTCCTCCAATCCTCAGAAGTTGTTCCACTGCTTGTGACTGATCTTGAAACCACGCCTATGCATTGCCCATCAATGACCCCTTCTCCTTCTTTCTCTTTTCTTTCCTTCCAGTGGTTCATAAGCATTTTCAATAGGCAATCTCTCAATGTTGCCTACTTACTTAGCTTTTATCCTCCTTTCTCCTTCACTGCCAGACTTCTCAAGAGTGTTACTGTCTCTATTTTTAAACTTCTAAATGACTCATAAATTTTCATTACAGCTAGTCTTCTTCTATTACAATTTATTGAAACTGTCTTTGCAAACATTTCCAGTGATCATCTAATTGCAAATCTAACAAACTCATAGTACATATAATTCTACTGGACTTCATGAAACATTTGACATCATTGGGCATCTCCAATTCCTACATTTAATACCGTCTCTCCTCCTCTGTCTACTTTACACGTCAGTGACCCCTTGCTTGAGTCTCTCATCTCCCAGTGCTCTTTCCAGATCTTATTTGCTTTTTATAGTAGGTTCCGCCTTTGCCTTCATCTATGCACCTTTTCCATGTTTCCATTCATTTCCCCAGATTCAACAGAGTACTGTTTCTTAATCCATCTCAAAGGACTGCTGTGATGATTAAATGGTAAAATGTATTTAAAGCAATGGCCATGGACTGTGGTCCCAGAAACTCCCAAATCCTGAGTCTGCTGCCTTTAGCTCCTCTCACTAGGAGAGATTCAGTGTTCCTCTGAATGTGATGGTACTTGATTTGCTTAGGAAAGTTCTTTAATTTTTCCTCAGGAAATGAAACTTTAGGAATAAGGCTGGTTGTAGATGAGGTAAGATGAAATGCTAATTCCCCTAAGAAAAAATCCTAATTGTAAGCTAGTAAATTCACTCCTTAAACTAACATATAATGGAAGCAATATAAAAAAACAGAGTTCAGCCTACAACTCAGTGTGCCAGTTCTTTTTATGCATAATGCAATCATGTGGGAAAGCTTTTAAAGTAAACACACCTGCGTATTCAGTAAAAATTAGTCTTTCAGTTGCATTTTTACTGTAGCTTTGGAATAATCTGTTTTGTCTGATTTAATTAAATAATTTTAAAGTATATGGGTTTCTGCTAAAGAAGAACACAGTGTTAGGATGTAACCTGTTTATTCTTCTTTGCACTTTCCTTTATTGTAATTATTTTTTTGGTGTGGTTTCTAATTTTAAGCAGTAACAAAAAACAATCTAAGACACAAAGACTTGATTGTATTTTCTGTGTCTAAGTAATCTGGACTCATTTTTATAGGACAATGGCCTGGAAGAATGTATTCAATGTTAAAAATACCATCTGCATCTTTGGGGATATTCAAAGAGGCATAAAAAGACAGCAAATTTTCATTATGTATATTTAGTTACTTACAATATTGTTTTGACTGTTTCATTAATATCTTTATTTTCCATTACTGAAAGAATACAATATATGCCAGACTGGGCGATACCTGTGTTCTACACAGTTCAGAATTTTCTGACACTAGTCCCTTGTTTCTGTCAACAAATCGTATTGATTGTTAAAACTATGAACTATTAACATGGAAAGTGGACAACTGAAAATTTTTTTACCTTTGACTTTTGGAGCTATCATTGGTCTGCTAAACTGAACATCTGATTGTAACTCTTTCCTCCTTAAAAACTCTTTGTTGGCTCCCCGTTGCTCACAGGATCTAGCCATCCGCCAGAGGTCTGCCTGCCTCTGCAATATTGTCCTCTATTCCTGTGTATTTCACTTCTTCCTTCCAGTCCATCTGGTAAGCTCTTTGTGGTCACCCTACAAATTCTAGGTAATTTTTCTCTAGAAAGGTTTTTTGTATTTTTTCCAGCTTTACTGAGATATAATTGACAAATAACACTGTTTAAGTTTAAGGTGTACAATGTAGTGATTCGATATGTGTATATACTGTGAAATGACTACTGCAATAAGGTTAGCCAATGCATCCATCACCTCACACGGTTACCATTGTTTCTGTGGTGAGGACATTTAAGATCTCCTCTCTTAGCAAATTTTAAGTATACAATACAGTATTGTTAATGATAGTCATCATGCTGTACACCGAATCTCCTAGTCTTATTCATCTTATAAATGGAAGTTTGTATCCTTTGACAAACATCTTCCCATATCCCCCAACACCAATCTACTTTGATTCTGTAAGCACAGTTTTGAGATTCTACATATAGGTGAGGCCACACAATATTTGTCTTTGTCTGATGTCCTTCACTTAGTATAATGCCTCAATATCGATACACATTGTAGCAAGCGGTAGGGTTTCTCTAGGAAGATTTTGTTACCATCTGCTCTGCTTTTCATCATTCATGCCTATACAATTAATTACTCTTTTTTGTAATACTACAAACTCTTATATTTATGTTCACTTTCACATTAGGCAAACTGATTATAATTACTTTTTTATTGTGGTAAAATGTACATAAAATGTCCATAACATTTTGACCATTTTTAAGTGTACATTTCAGTGGCACTAAGTACATTCACATTGTTATGTGATATCACCACCGTCCATCTTCAGAATATTTTTATCTTTCCAAACTGAAACTCTACCCGTTAAGTAATAACTCTCCATTTAATTACTTTTTAACAAGCCTGTCTCCCGTATCTGAGAGAACTATTACTTTATTAACCTCTGAGTTTTATTAATATATTATGCCAGCCATCCATATCATTATGTCAGCCATCCATATCAGACTATGCTAGCTTTCCAGCTCTACTCCACTCTAACCTAATTCTTGTTGAACCATCATAATAAATGCTGAAGGAATAAGTTTTAGCCATTTAAAATAAAGAGCAATGACTGTTGGCAAAAAAATCATAAAAGAAATTCTTGTTGAACCATCATAATAAATGCTGAAGGAATAAGTTTTAGCCATTTAAAATAAAGAGCAATGACTGTTGGCAAAAAAATCATAAAAGATTTTACAAGAAGAAGAAAAAAAGAACATACTCCTAGTGGTTTTCACTTTAGTAAAAACAAAACAAACAAAGCTATGCCTTCTGTGTTTTCTCATTTCATAAAGTATGAATTCCAAATTTTGAGCATGGCATTCATGGACTTCAAAAATCTGAGTCCTATATTCCTCTATACCCTATACATCACCTCTCACACCCAGAATCTTACCAACACAACATCATCCATTACTCTTGAAACAGCCAAATTCAGGTGTTTTTAATTCAACTATCTGTTCAGTCTGAAATGTTTCCCCCTGTTTTAAGCCAAATCAGTCTTCCTTCAAAAGTGAAAACTTCCGATTTTTTGGTTCAGAATACACTTCTCTTCTTTGCTCTTTTGCATTTGGTTTGAGCCTCCATTTTGCATTTATTTAGTTTTGTATTCAAGTACATCTTACTTATATGTTTATATGTCTTCATCACTTGTGGACAAATTATATGGAAATTTGCATAAGATTTAATTTGTCATTTTATTTTTTCCAATTTTTTCCTGTCAGAGACTTGGGATTTTCTGCACATGGTAGTTGCTCAACAATTATATTAGCAAGAACAAGTATTTTGTTTGTTTAATGCCTATGATCAATGTATTGGTGTATACTGTGCATGCCTAAGGTTGTTCAAACTCTTTATTAAGGAAACGGCCAAGGAATAATGTCAAAACTTTGGTCAGGACAAACTCTATACAATGAAAT